TTAAGCACAGGCAGCGATAACGGTTTCATAAATCGAAAGGCAATAGTGCTCATCATTACCGGTTCGTTCAGGGGGTGGCATCCCCACTCCCCCCGTTCCCGCGGCCGTGCTAACAGCCCCCTCCCCAGCACCGCTGACTCTGCCGCTCCCCTTCGCCTCCCGGTCTGTGGAGACCGCGAGCGTGGAAAATCCCCAGACAGGGAGTGTAAATGCTTGTTCTTTGTAAATGAAGAACATAATTAACATTAAATTAAGGTAATACAAATGAAGACAACACAGAGCCTGACAGGATGAGTGTTTGGGGAGGCAGTAGAGAGAAGTGATTCATATTTTTAATTTACTGTACAAATAGACTAGCAGGGCTGGGGGGAAAAGGGCCATCCAAGTGGAGTGGGGATTTTTTTTTTTTCCCACTGTTGTTTTGCTGTGCTTTAAGCACACAATGACTATTAAAGTCAACTGCCCATATAATAGGACATCTCCTACATGACTGCTCTCCGAGAGGCAGCTTGCTGTAGCAATAAATTCTGGGAGTGCCATCTGCTGGTGCGCACCCTCTGCCGGGCACCCTCGCCTCGGCCACCCTGACGCCAGGCACCCACACCCAGACCAGCCCCGGCACCCTGCGCCCGCTGCCGAGATGTGCTCCCACGGCGTGCTGGACATGGACCTGCTGGCATTAATACAGAATTATTATTTTTTCTATAGGGTAACAAACACTTTTTTTTCCCCCCAGATATGCCCTTAAATTGTTCATCATCTTTTTTTTAAGAGGTTGAGGGGGTCTGGTTGGTGCCAAGGAAATATTTTAGGCTTTTAAAAGAAACAAATCACTGTTCTCCACCCCTCCGAAGTGCTGGGTTTCAGCTGAGTGCCCATTACCCAGAACACAGTAAAAAATCACCCATTTTAGGTTTTTCCCTGCAAAAAGGTGCTTGACCACAGTCCGTGTGTTCCACAGGCTCGGCTGGAGACAGCTCTGCACTTTAAGGAGATGAGAGCTGCCGGCTCAGCCCGGGGGAGACCCCGCTGGGATGGCTTTCAGCCAGGAGCGAGCCAGGCTTACCGCAGCATGAGGGTGTGCATGGGGCTGTGGCATCTGGAAGGGGCACATTGCCACCGCCGTGTCCTTGTCCCCTTCCCTGGGGGACTCCTACCACCACTGTGCAAAGCAAAAACAAGAGAAGGCGCCAAGAGGACCCATTCCTGGCTGAAATCACCCTTCCCAGGCAGAAGATGCCCTGGGACTGTGCCGAGAGCCTCCCCACTCTATGCCAACACTGGAGAGGGTGTTTCACCATCTGGAAGCGTTTCCTAATTTTGGGGATGCAACCTTTGCTCTCCGGGTCACTTGTGTCCTGGCAGTTATTACCATGCGCAGTGCCCGTGGGTCCGGGGCTGGCCGGGCCGGTGGTGGAGAGGGGCTGGTCCCCGCTCCTTGCTCCATCATTTGCCGCCTTTTCTTCTCCCCTTGTGTGCTCACCTCCCGAACCACCCCCAGGGTGCCTGAGGGCAGCTCCAGCCCATCGCCTGAAGCTTTGCCAACCCCAAAGTGCAGCCAGGGCCTCTTTAACCCCTGCCCGGGGCCACCATCCAAACACCTCAAACGCATCCTGGGTCCAGGCTGCTGACACAGGGGCTGTTGCAAACCAACCTCCCCCCCGGGCAGTGTCCCTGGCATCCAGCACCCTCCCCTTGTGCCTGTTGCACTCGAAGCACAGCCAAGGAAACCACGCATGAACCTGCCTGGACTGAAGGGGACAACGGTACCAGCCCGGCCCGGGAGGGTTTGTGCCGGGGGCTCAGCCCTCCAGCACAGCACTGCGAGTTGCTTTGGGGTCCCCAGGGCCAGGGCATGAGGCCACGGTGCAACTTTGGGTACCATCGAGTGGCAAGATGCCTTATGGAGCTTCTCAGCTCCAGAGCCTCTCCTCTGTTGGTAAGACAAAACGCAGGGACCAATCCTGCACCCACCTCTGCGGGGCAGAGGAGTGCTGCTCCAGCTCCCCTTTCTCCATGCAGAAGGAGGCAGGAGGAGGGTTTTCACCCTGCTCAGAGCATGCAGGAACTGCACCCCACTCAAAACTGGTCCCTGATGTAGCCTCTGCAGTAAGGTGAGATTTTGGGAGGGGAGCGAAGGCAGCCCTGTTGAGGTGACAGGGACAGTTCGCTGTTAGGGCACCTGCTGAAACCAGTGCAGTAAGGTTTCAGCCTCAGAGGCTTAGTGGGCCCCTGTCATTAGCAGGATCCATCTCCCAGGAGCCCATCCCTGCTGGAGCCATAGGGACCGTGAGCACTGGCAGGGCGTGAACGCTCCTTGGCTTGTCCGGCCACGGCCTGGGGACACTTGCTGCCTCAGCAGCCACTGGTGCTGGCACAGGGACACCAGGGTGTGTCCAGCAAGCTTTCATCAGCTTCCCGGTCAGGCTGTGACCATTTACCCTCAGCCAGGCACCCTCCAGGAGAGCTTCCCTGCAGGATATGGAGATATCCAGTGATGGGCCATCACCACTTCCTTGAGGAACCCATTTCAAAGCATCATCTGGAGAGTTCAAATCAGGGCCTTCTTTCCCATTCCAGTTTGGCTGGGGTGAGCTCCAGCCCTCCACGTGTATACCTCAATGCTTAAACTCACCCACCCTTTAGCATTGGGTACATCACGAGAAGGCACTTACGCATTTGGAGAAAGTCACCTTCATCTTGGTTTCTGCAATCCTTAAGAGGATCGGGAGCATTTCCAGGCATCAAAGTAATTTCTCGGACCCTTTTTTCTATCTTCTCCAATCTTTCAAGGTCTGTTTGGACATTGCTAGAGGATACAGCCTTACCGTCACCAAGCAGAACGAGTGCTTTTGGAGGCCTGAATCCAGAGAGCTGCTTTGGACATGGGGAAGCAGCTTGGAGCGAACCAGCCCTACCCTTAGCAAGC